TATATATGTGTGTGTGTGTGTGTGTGTGTGTGTGTGTGTGTGTTTGACCCCATATATAAATCAGACACTGAAGCCTCATTTAATGCACAAATTAGGCAACACGATATCAAATCAAGTTGTAAATGAATAATGCTGAAGTTATTTATGGTGGATGTATGAAGTTATGTATGAAGTTATGTCCCCATCAAGTTCAAACAGGGTGTCCAGAATAAGCACGGATAGTTAATGAAATTAACTATGAACATGGTCTACTAATGTTTGACAACCAAAATGTTAAATATGAATTGTCAATATATATATGCAATACATAATTATAGTTTTATGATATTTTTTTTGTTTTGAATGTTTTACTCGAGACATGCGCTTATACTGTTTTCTTTAAAACAAATGTCAATTGGTTTAATATTTAACATGCAATGACATTTACACATTTGTCTGTGACTAAAATGTCCAAAATATATTTGGGGCCACATTACAAACAAAATCTCAGACGATTAGCTGAAACTATGCAAAGATAGTCAGTAAAAAGTAATTGCGTAGTTATTGGATTAAAGGGGTCATATGATGCGATTTCAAGTTTTCCTTTCTCTTTGGAGTGTTACAAGCTGTTCGTGCATAGATAAGATCCCTAAAGTTGCAAAGACTAAAGTCTCAAACCCAAAGTGATATTCTTTCTAAAAGTTAAGACTCGTCCACACCCTCCTAAAACGCCTCGTTTAAACACGCCCCCACATGTCTACGTCACTGTGTGGGAAGATTTGCATAACACCACCCAAATGTTCACGCAAAGAAAGAAGGAGTAACTTTATCGTTGCTGCCATCGCCACCGACATGTTGTGAAGATGCTGTGTGTTTCGTTGCGAAAGCGAAACTACTTTATTTGGCCTTCCAAAAGAGGACACGACTAGAAATCAGTGGTTAAGTTGTATTTACAACACTGTTCCAGAACAGTTCAACCCAAATATTCAGATGTGTGCAGCACATTTTATGGAGGACTGTTTCCTGATCCTGGCAGAGTAGACTACAATGCCGGCTGTTCTGACTCACAGCCTGTAAGTTCGTTTTCATATTTAAAGAATTTGCCACTGATGATTCAAATGCGAGTTTTGAGCAGTGTAGAGTAGCACTTGTTGTTTGTCATTTCTCCGATCACAAATGCAAACATGGTTTTATGTTTACGTGGCGCGCTGCAACACAACGCATAAAAAGACAGTATAAGTCATTATAATCCATAATTATGTCCCCACTGGATGCTACAAATGCTTTTGTCTCGTCGCTCTGGGACACGGCATCACAATATGGTAAGGGGAGTAACATTTCTGTCACACGCTTGAGGTATTCGGCCAATCACAACACACTGGATAGCTGGCCAATCAGAGCACACCTCGCTTTCAGACCGATGAGCTTTGTAAAAATCGACGCGTTTCAGAAAGGCGGGGCATAGAGGAGAAACAATAATGTACAGTATGTGGAAAATAATGTGGGGTTTTTTTACCTTAAACTGCATAAACACATTTCATTACACCAAATACACAAAATAATGTTCTTTTTAGCAGCATCATATGACCCCTTTAAATGAGCTGTCATCAGTTTCATGTCTTTGATCATAATGGGTCAATGTAAACAAGAAACTGAAAAGCAAGAAGAAGATAGGACAAAATTACCTTTAATTTGGAGCAGCATGGCTCTTGTGCCGTCTTCTTTTCTACACTCATGATGCCCTGGAAGCAAACGATATGAATGACAGATGACAGAACAGTGCAGAGCATGTCAACACCAGGATCATTATGAACAGCATCACGTTATTGTCATGCAAACAGCATTTTTTCCAGGGTCCATTGTTCATGGGAGTAAGAAAACATCATCTGAGGGGAAAGACCCCTGAGGGTGGAGCTGAGAGTGGATTCAGAAATTGCACCACATTTCCTGCAAGAGGGAGGGTTTTTGACAAAAAAAAATCAAAGTTTTTAAGAATCATGGACAGCAGGGCAAACTTTGTTGATGTTGGTTTGATGCTGAAGACAATGAAACATGATGTGGGGGATGTGGTTTTTTTTTTTAAAGAAAGAAAAGAGAAAGAAACCCCCAATGAATTGTTTGATGATATTGGCAAAAGAAAATTTGTGTTTATTTAGACTAAAAGAGACAAGGGCTAATTGTTTTTGAACACAATAAAATTGCACTGATATACAGTCAGGCAAAGATCAACAATATAAAGACGGCAGATTTTAAATTAAATGTGTAAATGGGATCAAGAATATTAATATTAACAAGAATAGTTTGCATGAATGTCAGTTCGGGGCAAGTTATCACATAAGAGTAATTTTTTTAATTACATTTGTTTTACATTTTATAAATTTTTGTACAATGTTGACAAAATAATGACTTAACATTTCTTTGTATGCTACCTTGTTATTTTATATAAAAATATAGCTATTTATTTTTGATGAAAATCACATAATAAGTCATAATGCCAGACTAGCCACTTTAACCCATTATAGTGTGACAAGCTTTTACAGAAATGTAAATAATATATATATATAAATAAATAAATAAAACTAGAAATATTCACAGATGTGACAAAAAGCCCTAGTCATGTGCATAGTCTAAAAGAATACAATGCATATTGATACAGATAAATCATCTCTGCAACACGTGAAAACAGGATATTTTTAAAAAACAACAAGAAAAACAGTAAGACAGTAAGAGATACAGAGATCATATATACCTGTGCTGTTGTCTGTGTCCCTCAGAATGGATGGAGGACTCTGGCAGTTTGCTCACAGGTAAGGCCTTATCATTCAATGTTATAAAATCTCCTCTAATCAGTAACCAAATAGTCATGTCCATCTGCTGATCATGTCAATAGATCACTTCTCTGCAGCGAGGGGGGCTGGGGTTTCCCAGAGGTACAGAGGACAAAACAGACCAATGTTGTCTCATATGCTTTGGACAAACAGAGATGGGACACTGCAGTGAAAGCTGAGTGTCAAGGTAGGACTTAGGGGCCCAGGGGCCCCTGGGCTTGAGGTTATGTTTGGTAATCAAATCTAAGACCAAATCTGAACTATCCTAAAATGGCTGTGCCAGCAATCGGCCTCGTAATATAAACATTTAAGAAACATTTGATAACAATGAGCTTTTAAAAATGTATCGGCTTTGGTTTGAAAGTTATCCCAACCCCAAATTTTTTATTATATTCTTAATATATAGCTGTTCTCGTGTCCAGTTTGGTTTTCTTTTATGTTTGCATGTCTTACTATCAGCTATGATTATTCTACTCAGTTAAAAGGCTGTTTATATGCATATTGACTAATTATTTGCGAGAAGCATGCATATAAGAGGCTGACAATTAGCTGAATATATACTTGTTTATTAGTGACACTTAGTCTGCATTTTAACATCTTTATTTGAATGTGGCAATTAACTTTTTTTATTTGAATATGAAAACATAATATTGCGCTCTATAATATTTCTATGAATAAATCGCTGACAGACACTATCAGCCAATCACTGTGTGCATAGTTAGTAAGCACGCTGACATCATCCATAGCAACGAGGTCAACCCCGCCCTTACTCTTAGCTTAAGTGTTCTCTCTATTCCTTAGTAAAAGTTTGTCTCAGCAGCTTTGTGAATAGGTTTTAAGAGAAAACTCTTAGCTAAAAACTTTTACTGCCATTTAGGAGAACTCTTAGTGGTAAAATAAAATGTTTTGTGAATACGAGCCCAGATTCTTAAATTTAATCAATAAATTAAATCCGAATAAAAAGACATGTTGGCTATTAACAATCAAATTAAATCACTATCAACAACATCCATAGATAGATTCTGCATACATTATGTTAAGTTTAAATATAACATTTGAATGTAGAAATATTAAATGATTGCAAAAATGAAATAAGCTACTTTTTTAAATATGAAACTACAACCACCAGTAGCTGGCAGCAAGTTACTGTCTTAATGAGTGAGTTGAATACTTAAATCAACCGATTTGTTTAAAATGTGAATTAAATTAATTCACAGCCTGATTGAAACATTTACTGGTCCTTGTAAGGTGGAGGAACAGAACACCGTGTTGCTCGGAGACGCAGCGGTTGTGCCGTTTGTTCTGTTTTCTTTTTGATGGAGTAAAAAGGAATTTTTTGTCTGAAAGTTACTCAGTAACTTGTTGTTTATTTTACATTTGCGATTGTGCAGATATTTGGAAAAACAGGACTCTTGTTTGTGTGGCTAAATCCTATATGATCTGTTATAAAAACAGAAACTGATTAAAGGGGTCATATGATGCGATTTCTATTTTTCCTTTTCTTTAGTGTGTTATGTAGCTATTTGTGCATGTATAAGATCTGCAGAGTTCCCTTTCAGTCGGTCACTCTCGACGTCACATCGGATGACCGACGAATTGGGATCTCGCTTAGAGAGACCAATCTACTTCGAGTGTAAACTAAACGAGCCAATGCACATTGGCATGCGATTATTGCATCCAGCTGCCGCTGATCACAGCGTGAGTATAAGTAGGCAGCAGATGCAGCGCATATTCAGCTTTTCGCTTCGGAGCCGAGCGATCACATCGTTCTGCTCCTGACTACTCTACTGAAAGAAGAAGACTGAACGAGTTCAGCGCGCTCTTGGAGAGCTCTTCGTGTTGGCGGTACGGCGCTTCAGCGGTGGTGGTTTCCCGTTTCGAGTGGGCTGCACACATCAGGCAAGCACTACCCCCTGTTTGTGCTGCAGATGATCATCTCCCCTGTGCGCCTCAGCACGCTAAAAGAGCTTTTTCCCTAAAAGAGCAATTTCGGGTGCGTCTTTTTAAAGACGATGTTGCATGGCAAACTTGACGTTACGTCTTTGTAAAGACGATGTGGGTCTTGCTATAGAAAATGTATCACCCGGGCTTTTCTGGATGCGGTCGTTACCTGGCGCTGGGTGATGGTCCAGATCGCTGCCTCACGTGCCTGGGCATGTA